TCCACTGCATGGACATACCCCAGTTTATTCATCCATTTACCGTTGAAGGTATTTGGATTGTTTCGAGTGTGGGGTGATTATGAATAAAGCTGCTATAAACATTCACACATAGGTTCCTGTGAGTATACAAGTTTTCATTTCCCTTGAATAAATATATAGTAACAGCATATCTTGCTTATAAATAAGCATAGCTTTAATAAGTAATGGCTAACCACTTGCCATTTCCACTAGTAATTAATGTACAAGAATTGTTCCACAAGCTTGCCAATACTTGACATTCTCAATATTGTTTATTTTACCATTTTAATAGGTGTGTAGTTGTATCTAACTGTGATTTTATTTTGTATTTTCCTAATGACTAATGATGTGGAACAAATTTTATATATTTTTCATTTTTTAAATAGTGCTTTTGATTAAAGGTTATAACTTTTAAGAAAAAGGTGAAAAGAGTTGATAATATCAAATAAAAACATTTCATTTCCTAGGTCATGGCTTATAATGATACATGAATGATAATTTAATGACAAAGGTTAGACTAAATCTTCTGGGACAGGGCTAATACATTTGGTAATGATTTCTTATATGATTAAATGAGCTTTAAAATTATATTTGAAAAAAGTAGAAAAAATATATTTGAAGGGCTGAGAAAAAAGATCCCAGAAGCAATATTAAGAACAACAGATGATGTGATTTAAAAAGAACAAAAATAAGAACTAATCATTTGAAGGAAAAAGTAGTAAAGATTGTTGGAAACAATATTTCTATCCATCTATATGGCATGGACAGAATATGAGTAATTAGAACAATGCATTTAGAAATTTAATATAAACAAATAATTATTCACATTTCTTGAAGTTGTTGGAAAGGAGCATATAGAGTATTTTTAGAGCAATGGAAGGATAAACCTTATTTGATAGGAACAATTTTGATAAATGGGGACACAGCATAGTGCTGAAAGTTAATGTATCCATAAGTGGAAGAAATCGTTTTAAAAAGGCGAAAGATTTATGCGATCTGAAGAGAAACTAGAGGATTGGAAGAAATGATTTTAGAAAGCATCAGAATTGGGATGAAAAATAAAATCCTAATGTTGTGTGGACATGTTACCTTGAGCAAAGTAGTGTAGTGGATTTGTATATAATGTGTTTCTCCATGTCTGACAAAACTGGCTCAGGGCAATGCTAGGTTTCCTCACTAATCTATTGGAAACTCCACTCTGCTCTAAGCAGAGATCAAGGTGATCTGCCTTCTGTAATGTTATTGTTTAATTAAAGAAAGAAAAAAAGAAAATATTGATGGTAAAACAAGACTATGTAAAAAAAATACTAAATAAAATAAAAATAAAATATATTATATAAAACCTATACATTAGTTTCAGATGTACAATATAGTGATTCCGCAATTCCATACATCACACTGTGCTTTTTTATTTATTTTTAAAACGACATTTTAGTACTTGGTATGTGGGGTGCTGTGCTAGTTAGTAATGACACAAAGTTTAGTAGAGGACCCAAGCCCTGACTTCACAAAAGTTCACAATCTAATTGGAAGTCAGAAGAACATGGGAGCAATTACAGTGGAGTGTGATGAATTCAACAAGAGAACTTCTGAGCATCTGACAATAATTGAGGGAATTAACATAATTAATTCAAATGACAGGGATAAAAGACGATTTCAAAAAGAAAATTATGCTTTTGTGGGGGTCTGATTTTTGTTGTTAATTCAAGAAAAAATTGCCTTTTGAGTACAAATATGTACAGAACTTATAAAGATGCCTAACCATTTTTAAGTATTTTAGTAATAAAGCAAAAATATATAAGTTGCATGATGTACAAATGTAGATTTTTAGCTGATTGCATATCAAAATGTACAAAGTTTCAATTTATAAATCAATGCCAAACCGTCTTTAGTTGCTCTAAAGCTCTATGCTTGACACTGATTTTTATTAGTGACTTGGATGAACACATAAAACATAAATTTGGAAATGATGAAGTTGGGAGAGTTAATTAAAACATTGTACACAGAAGTAAAACAAAGAACAGTTTCTATGGACAAGTGATATGTCGAGTTTAATAAGATAAATGTAATCGTTGGTAATGATTGTAAATTCATGCTAAGATAAATTAAATAAATATGAGATTTTTTGACAATTTCAGTGACATCAGGGCATAGAAGACCTGTTTCGACACAATGTAATACAGATGCAAAAAATAGACAATGAACACTTAATGCCTATATAATGTTAACAGAAGTATAAGGTCACTGCATTTCAGTACAAGATCATACTGGCAATTGTTACTGTAGCCTGCTCTAATTAGAGTCTATTCTAATATACCCAGTGTTCGGAGCCATGGGCATAATTTTATGTATCATAATGTGAATTATTTAGGCAGTGACTTGGAGACCAGAGCTGTCTAAAATATCAAAGAAGGCAAGAAAGGAACTTAAAACATGAGTGACAGAAGCAGGTGCAGACAAATATGTGAGGCACCCTGGACAGGAATTCAGTGGGAAGATGAGAGGTGCCCCAGAGGCAAACCATGTGTACTCTCATAGTTCGAGCTACTACAGCAATAAGAGATAGCAGGCTCCAAGCAAACTTAAGTGAACCCTTTCTCCAGATGAATGACCCGGCAAAGAAATCAGAATAAAGGACAAAATGGTATCCTCTAAAACGACTCAAAGAGAACAAGGAAATACCCCATTCCTAGAAGTAATGGAATAGAGGGAGGAAAAAAACAAAAGGTGCATCCTAGACATTAAACAGAAGGCAAAGGACCTGGTCATGTAGAATCAGAGTAGAGCCAATAGCAACACAAAATTGTACATTTCTGTTTGATCCCTGATTCATGCATGGGGCAGAGTCTACAGGTGAGAGTATCATTTCCCCATCTGGGAAAATAAGAATTACAGAGTTAATCAGATTGGATAAATAATTCAGTGTCCCCCTAGGCCCACAGTATAGTTGATTAATTCCTAAGGGAAACACAATAAATGAACACTACCCTGTGAGTCGATCACTGTTCTAGATTCAGAAAATGTGAAAACAAATGAAGCCAGTGCTTTGACATCAATAATTCACATTTCCATAGGTAATAAAGAATCATTGAAGTTTTTAAAGCTAGGAAGTAGTGGGCTAGGTTTTAGAATGATAGCTAACAGTAAATGGAATGGTTTAATAACCTATTCGTTTGGTTAGGAAATGATGTTAAAGAAACATAAGCCAGTTTGAAACATTTTTGAAAAGATATTGCACATATGTAATGTTTTCCATATATGTCTTAATGAGCAAAATAGTTTATGGAATATTGCAGAGAATATACCAAAATAATGTAAACAAGTTTCTAGTTGCATAAATAATATCTATTTTCTTTGCAAAAAATTCTAATAATACATGCATGTAGTTTGGTCACATTCTATGTGAATTTGAATTATTTAAACATGAAACATAATGTATATAAAATATTTACAGATCTCACTGCTTGAGAAAAATGTTAAACAAAACAAATAACCCTAGATTTAAAAATCATCAACAATTAGGATTTGAAATGAGTGAATTAATTTTAAACTGTTTACACTTTTGTCACGAGGTGGCGCCATAGTGGTAACTGTGGCCAGAAATGTATTCTTCCCCAATCTTTTTTCTGTTTACATAATTATGTATTATGTTTATAACCATATTCATAATTTGAGGTTTTCTAAATAATTAGAATTACTGAGTATCTAGTGTGTGAACTGAAGCTTGCTGCCTTCAGTAAATCAAACGTGTTGGGGGATCTATCTCATTCTTTAAAACTGCTGTCTAATATTCCCCAGGGGAAAAAAAATACTTATAATTTATTTAACAATGAAATGGTCATTTAGGTGTATCACAATTTTTCACTAATGCAAATTATGCCGTAAAGAACATTTTTTAGCAATTCTCTTTGTATATATAGGCATCTCTGGAGTATATCAGGATATAGCAGGCTCCAAGTCTGCTAATTTTAATTCTGATAAATATGGTTAAATTGTTCATTCAGAGGTTCTAACAATTTAAGCTCTAATCAACATTGTGTGAGAATGCCCATTTTCTTCATGACTGAATATCTTTTTGAATGTTGGCACCTGATATTAAAATGTTGGTGGTGAAAATGTATTATTCCATAATTAGCAATGAGGTTGAATAGGCTTTAAGAATTTTGATTAACTTTTGAGGTTTTGTTCAGTAATAGGCCAATTCCTATCATTTGCCCATTTTTCACTTTTTTTCCCACAATCTTTTAGATTGGTCAGAATTTCTCATGTTATAGATATTATTCATTAGATCTTTGTGTCTGTCAAAACATTTTTCTCTTACTCTGTCACTTATATTTGAACCTGATAATGGTGATTTTCACTGCAAATGTGTTTTAATACTTAGGTGGTCAAATGTCAGGACTTTTGTCTTATGGCTTCTGGATTTTTTGTTTTGTTTTGCTTTGAGTTCTCCAAAATTTTAAAGCGCTATGAAGATATTCTTTTTACTTGATTGTAATACAATCATATGGGTTATTGTTGTTTTTGTTGTTTACATTTAGTATTTTTGTACATGTGGAAAGCATATTTTTGTGCATATTCAGTTATATTAGCACCATGGATTGATTAAACATTTTTCTTCTCCAGTGACTTGAAATATTACCTTTATTATGTATCAGTTCCAAATATATATAAATCTGTGTCTGAAACCCTTTTCTGTTCTATAGTTGACCAAAATCTTAACATTTTCACACAAAGACATGCAACGGACTATCCCCATTCTGAATATCACAAAATGATCCCTACTTCAAAGAAGCAGTAGAAGGAGCTCAGAGAGTTAAGAGGTTTATATGAAGTCCTGTGACTACGCTGGCAGCCAGCCTGGACCTGGGGACCCATTTTTCTTATTTCTACTTCAGTGTTTTTCAGTGTTCTGTTGCAAACCATAAGATCAACGAGAAAATAGGTCACTCTCACCCTCTTTTATCTTGGTTCTTTTTCAGTAACAGAGGAGTATTCAGACTGTAGTAGCTCCCCATGCCAAAACGGGGGCACCTGTATAAATGGAAGAACTAGCTCTGTCTGTGCTTGCCGACATCCTTTCACTGGCGACAACTGCACTATCAAGCTGGTACAGGAAAATGCTTTAGCTCCAGGTATGAAAGTACGTGCATCCTTGGATTTGCTCAGTATCCTACACATAAACACTTTCTGAAAATACTTACAAATGAATATTGAAACCTGGTTATCTGGACTCATGTAAGGATTAATTCCTTTCACTTCTGAAATTGACTGAATAATACACATGATTTACAGGTGGAAATGTCTGTCAGGCAAATCCATACACTTGTTGACATTTTCAATACTGATATGACAGAAGCAGTCTTTTTTTTTTCTTGTGGATTTTGAAAGAAAATACAGATATATATAATAGATAGATAGATAGATAGATAGATAACTGATTGGTATAAACTCTTTTTGAAACAAGTCGATAAAGAAATATATCTTTGATTTGTATCAGATATGATTATTTAAATGAAGATTTTAAAAGTAATTAGCAGTATGTCTTCCATGAATGTTAAGCTAATAGTGTCTTTTTGCCTGGGTGAGGACTCTTAGAACATGCTCAAATGGATTGTGTAGGACAAAATACTTTTTTTGTCCATTTCCCTTCATAAATATTGCTCATTATAAACTAGCTTAAAGAGTGTACCATTTCTGATTTCTATATAAGAAAATATGTGCCACATTTAAAATACATTTTCTTTATTGACTGCAAAAACATATTCCAAATCAGGCTTTTCTTAATAATACACTGCATAGCAAAGAGTAAAATTTTTGGCCTATTATTTAAATCTCAGCCTTTGTAAGTACATTTGGCATTAATTACGTGGAAAATTGCTTTTGTCTACTTCTCTATAGTACGTATGACTTGGTTTGGTTTCCGTTTTAGCCTCTAGGAACTGTTTGACAAGGTGCTGGAAAAATTGTTTCTACATCATGTCAGCTTCAATTCCTGCAAGGGGCTTTAAAACACTCTGGCATACCATAATAATCATAGAGCGCTTTGAATTCCTTTATCTCTGGAGAGATCAAAGCAACATGCAAATTAATCTTTGAGGCATTTCTATGAGAGATGTATCAAGCGCTATTATCATTCTATCTTGACAGAAATAGAGAAACTGAGGCTCACAGAGAGCAAATGATTTCAGGTAATTCAGCCAAAAGAAGAGGCAAGAATCCAGACACCTATACCCTTGTTAAAACTGATGAATGATCTTTTTTCCTTCTGATAACCCTTTTTATAACTGAAATAAAATGATAAAGAAGTGAAGAAAGACAAAACATGATAAAAAAAACATGAAACCTGACTCCATTTTTTTCCTCCAACAGATTTTTCCCAAGGATCATACAGATATGCACCGATGGTAGCATTTTTTGCATCTCACACATATGGAATGACGATACCTGGTCCTATCCTATTTAATAACTTGGATGTCAATTATGGAGCTTCCTATACTCCAAGAACTGGAAAATTCAGAATTCCTTATCTCGGGGTGTATGTGTTTAAGTATACCATTGAGTCATTTAGTGCCCATATCTCTGGATTTTTAGTGGTTGATGGAATAGACAAGCTTGCATTTGAATCAGAAAATATTAACAGTGAAATACACTGTGACAGGGTTTTAACCGGGGATGCCTTATTAGAATTAAATTATGGGCAGGAAGTGTGGTTGCGACTTGTAAAAGGAACAATTCCAGCCAAATTTCCGCCTGCTACTACATTTAGTGGTTACTTATTATACCGTACATAAATTAGTATGAAAGACAGACTATCACCTTTACTGAGAAGGAACCAGTGTTTTTACTTATCTTTGCATGCACATCTGCTCTGTTTTTGGCTTTTCTACATGAAATGAAAATTAACTTCTTTTTTAATCTGAATGGGTCCATAAGTTTATGTCATAAAATTATTTGAATATCTTGTGGATAACCTGTATATAAAGAAGTTCTTGCTCCTAAAGAGATTTAGTGGCAGAGACAATGAAGTGCATTTAATAACATAACGACTTTTATTCTCTTGTGTTAAGTCACTTTATTGTAATGTAATATGACTAAATGGCAATCATTCAATTGTGTTGGTCACAGTAGTCTTTCCAATAAAATGTTTACCTTTTGTTTATAGTTCCTAAATTCACAATTCAAATAAATTACTCAAAGACCAAGGAGTGGGTTGTTTTGTTTTGTTTTGTTTTTAACTTTGATTTTTACTCTTCACTCTTGGGTTGATCAACTTTATATATTTAAATTTTCATTTGTAATCAAAATTAAGAAAGTTGTACTTGAAACTTAAAATATGCTTACCTATTGTTATCCACCTATAATAAGAAGTCAATTAAAGTAATAATTGACAAATAATTAAAGATTTACATCTCTATTTTATTGCCTCCATTGTACAATATCTCCAGAGAAAAAATAAAGGCTTCCTCTAATGAATATTTTTCCAAGGCAGTTCATGCAAGCCTGCTCATATTCTTATAAAGGGCACATAACATTCCAAAGTAATACTATGATTTATGAATGTTCACTATGTCCTGATTCTCTTCTAAAGAACTTACCTGTAATGTCTCATTCATTCTGCACAAAAACTCTTATAAAGAGGATATTAGTATTATCATTTTTACAGATGAAGAAACTGAAACTTTGAGAGATTAAGGAATGGACCAAGCTCCACAACTAGCTAATACTGAGGCAGGATTGAGAACCAGGCCAGGTCTCTTCCAGGGCCACCTGTCACACTTTGTCTATATTGCCTCCAACAGATATACCACAATTTATGTAATAATCTCTTTAGATTGTTTATAGTGCCTTTTTTAGGACTTTATTTATTTATTCATGAGAGGCACAGGCAGAAAGAGAAGCAGGCTCCCTGTGGGGAGCCTAATACGGGGACCGGATCCCAGGACCCTGGGATCACGACTTGAGCCAAAGGCAGATGCTTAACCATTCAGCCTTCCAGGCATTTCTATAGTGTTTTATTATAACAATATTGTTGTAGTGGACACCCGTAAAGGTACATTTCTTGCATATTTGATAAAGTATTTCTGAAGGATAGTTTCCTATAAGTAATAGTAAAAATAATAATGGAAAAGAATTTTGGCATGGCAAGCATTTTTCATGAATTAATTTATTTAATGTTCACTATAATCCTATGAATTACATATTAAACCTATGAGATACATATTAAGTGTTATTGTCTTTCCACTACCAGGAAACAGAGATACACAGAGGGTAATTACAGCAAGTTATGGGGAATTTCTGGAATAAAAGATAAACATATTTTTTAAAATTTTGATAAGTACTATCAAATTGCCCATGAAAAGTTTGTGCCGATCCAAAGTCCCATTTTGCCCAAGAGAAAGAGTGTTCTTTATTCCCTCTACACCCTCATCAAAATTGACAATTTTTAAAATATTGCCAATCTAGGTGAAAATGGTATTTTCTTATAGCAGAAGCTTGAAAAGATTTCAGATCTCCTTAGAGGGGATTTTCTTTGTCATTGTTCATCTGTTTCAAAGTTTAAGTTTACTGAATCAAATGAATTTCCATTTTTTTTAGATTATTTATTTATTTATTCATGAGAGACACAGAGATTCTTGGTTTTGGTCTAAGTCATGATCTCAGGGTCCTGGGATCAAGCCCTGCATTGGGCTCTGCACTCAGTGGGGATTCTGCTTGAAGATTCTCTCTGTCTGCTCCTCCCTGCACTTGCAAGCTCTCTTTCTCTCTCTCAAATAAATAAATGAATGAAATCTTAAAAAATATATTAGCAGAACAGAAGAAAGTAAACCATTTGACAATATTTGACACTGCCATGCACAATTTAGTTAATTGATTTTTTAATTAGATAATTAAGAACACTTAGCATTAAATGATGCTTTGGTGTTCAGAATTTTAATTATTAATATAATTCTTTATTTTTATACATATTTTAGAAATATACATATGACAAATTGCTACCAATAGCAAAGAGACATTGTAGCAACTTTTAAGTTGCTGTGATCTTGTTTGGCTATTTTTTTTAAATCCACCCAATATAATGTATTTCTAATTGTCATGGCCAAACTTATCCATGTGTAAAAAATACAGCACTGGGGTTTTCTCAATTTCTCCTATGGAGACAGCAACTTACATGGATATTATTTTGTAGTTAAATTCTGGAGCCCTTCTCTAGTGCCAGATCCTCCTGCCCAGCAAGCTCCTGAAGTATAGTTGGACTCTAGTTACTGATGACAATCTCATATCCATTCCTTAATCAATTATTTAATAAATACCTACTTTGTGACAGGCAGGATAAATCATATTTTTAAATAACATAAAAATAAATATCAAATAAATCAGTACAGACAGATGCTGCATTTGAAATACATTATCCAGACTCATGCTGACATTTATTACCACTGAAATCATAAGTAGCTCTGTAAGGATGGGAAATGTATCTTTAATAACAATCCCCTCTTTTTTTCTGCCTCTGTGACCAAGCTCCCATTGCCTCCTTTGTATCACTCCAGGAATTGAAAAAGTTCATATTCAAAGCCAGGTGTGCCTAAGTTGTTCTTCCTTATTCTTTTGTATCAGTCAAAACTCTTCTTTTGGAAGAATGAGCTAGTATCATTTGAGCATTAAGAAATGACAATTTAAATTTATTAAAATAAGCCATCTTGATTTTCGGTTGACTAGCCTATTTAATCTCCTTAGAGGGGATTTTCTTTGTCATTGTTCATCTGTTTCAAAGTTTAAGTTTACTGAATCAAATGAATTTCCATTTTTTTTAGATTATTTATTTATTTATTCATGAGAGACACAGAGAGAGAGAAAGGGAGAGAGGCAGAGACACAGGCAGAGGGAGAAGCAGGCTTCATTCAGGGAGCCCGATGAGGGACTAGATCCCGGGACTCCAGGATCACGCCCCAGGCTAAAGGCAGGGGCTAAACCACTGAGCCACCCAGGCTAATTTCTGGTTTGTAGAAGCTCAGTTACATTATATATAATTGTGTTATTTATAAATATATTTGTATTAATATTATATATGCATTCAGTCATAAAACTTAAAATTTTCATTGATCTAATATATATTTAACATAAATATATATTTATCTCATATATAAATTATAATATATATTTATGAAACTTAAAGTTTTGATCACATACTTTTCATTCAAGTTTAAAGCAAATGTGTTGACAACCTTTTAAAAAAAATACTGCTACTATCAACTTTTTCTTTTTTTTTTTACTATCAACTTTTTCATATTAAAAACTAGTTGAAAAAAAACTAGTTGAGGAATACTCTTCATCTTCATTAAAAAAGATCTTTAATGTAACAAAATTTTCCTTATTATACAAACTGTTCCTCTGTCCTCTATCCTTGCAAGGCGCGTGCAGGACACATTAAAGCTAGAATGCTAAGCCTGCCCTCTTAGACTGTACAGTTAGTTAGGTGGATCTCCCTTGTCGGAGGCAAAGATGTTTGCTGCCCCAGTGGTTTCAAATCTGAGGTTTCATCAACAAGCCAAGGAGAGTTATAAAGCCTCTTCCCTTGAGAGCTTTTATCACAGCTCAGTGAGAATCTTCAATGAGCTATACTGTGTTTGTCTTTAGAGAAAACAACAACAAAGTAGCATTCATTTCTCTGGGCTGACATCCTAATTAAACAATCCTAAACTCTGGAAAAAGTCCAAATTTTGGAGTTTTCATTACTTCTTTTCATGGATTGCTTCATGAATTGTCAAAGGCTTTAGTCAAAACATCTTACAGTTATCAAGCATTGAATGTAGTAATATTTAGAATATTTTAAAATGTTATTTTCATAGTTCAAAAATATCACTCTATAGTAGATTCTGGTTGTAATGTGATTTCCTACTAGAGGCAAATAAATACTTATATCAAGCCCACTGAAGATCACAGTGAAAATGCTCCATGACATAATCTGGGAGTTAGTTTTTTTGTTGTTTTTGTTTTTGTTTTTCTTCCAGTGTCTTTTCAGTGTATCTGAAACTAAATCCAAAAATTTGGATTCAAATACTTATTTGAGTTTCCTCTTTTTTGAATTAAAATTAATACTGTTTCAAATTATTCAAATTAAGGGTGAGAATACTACATGACACTACCCAGAAGGTGGGTTTTTTTTTTTTTTTAAATACTGCTTTACTTTGCTTACTTCAGCCACTAATGAAAAAATAACTCACTAGATTCTTACCAGGATATGATTACAAATGTTTTCTAAACTTTTTTTTTAATTTACTTACCCTCATTTATCTTTGCCACCACCATCACTACCACTAAATCATTAGATGGTGCATAATTTGTATAAAGGGAACCACATGTCTATTTCTTTATCTCTATGAAATCTGTAGATTAGGATGACAGTAATTTGTCAGAAAAAGTGTAGGGAAAATTCATTTATTCATATTACCTAGCCATTTCCAAAAGTGATTTGAGGTTGCTAGATGGATAACATATGATAAGAGAAATATTAAACTTTGACAAAGATAGTGGCTACTTATACATCAAATACACATCAAAAACACTTTTTAACCTTAATTTCATAGATATATTCACATGCACTGATTTTCATGATTTATCACAGAGTTATCTTGCTGTTAAGAGAATATCCCACAGAGATGCCTCCCATAGTCTCATTCTCTTTCAATTCCCTACTATCCCTTACTCCCTCTCTCATCATTGTAGATTTGCTATTTAACGAATATGTTTAGATCTCTTTAATCCTGCTGAGGAGCCAGCTAAATAGTGTGGAAATTATTCTGTAGATGAAATTTAAAAGACCCTCCAGAGATCACGTGTCTTTTTAATGTGACTTTCCTTGTCCTTTCTGAATCTTGTCATTAAATCTTTTGAATCAGGATTCTATTTCATATGCTCTAATGTTATTTCCTTTAGATCGTCAGCACACTAAGAGGTCATCAGTGGGTTTTAGTCCATAACACAGCTGTCTCCACATTCACAGCAAACTCTGAACTCTACCTTCTGCAATGAATGGAAGTAATAACGAAAAAGGATCACAGCATTTCTGTATCATTTTGACTTCTCATATGCAAAGTAGAACATGTTTGGGAAAACAACAACACCTATATAACCTAAAGACATTCTTGAGTACCATAAAAATATTAATACATTGTAGATGTTATGGAGCAATATTGGTATAAGA